CAGCATTTGCCAATCAATATTGGAGGCATTGGATATAAAATTGAAGGGACATTTATCAAGGTTTCCATCTCATATCTGCTAATATTAATTGGTTCCATCATATTACATAATTAGGAAAATGTCAATTTATAGCTTTGGCAACTAAAATTCAGTAATATTACTAACATTATTTGCAGCGATAAGATCCAATGTACCTCAATGTCCAGAGTAATCCACCGATCAGGACATGATCACCATCTGTGTTTTTCTCCGTTCCCTAAATCCATAACCAAACTGGCCGCTACAATGATAAGCTGCCGAATTGTTTGTTCCATTCCTCATATATACCAAGTTCGTTCAAGGAAACGGACGCTCTCACTTCGTGTAATGCATTCTCGAAGTCCTACATATGATGAAAACGAGAAAAATGTTAATTGTTATATTTAAACAGAGTTATCATGCTTTTTTTCCTTTTACATGCTTGGCTGTGCACAAAAGTAAGTCAAACTTACTTTCAAGTCACTTAGTTTGCCAAATATGATTTCCAAAGTTACTTTTTTACTAACAACACTTACTTTTCTAGAAAGTAGTCTCGACTTATTTACCAGAAAATTAACTTTTAAGCAAATTAAAAAGCTCTCTTTAAGCGTTCAAGTGATTACCTGAAGAGTTACTGGCCTCATATCATCCTTTTTCAGGTTTGTAATTTCAATACCCTGTCTTAGCGCTTCTCTGAGTGGACCCATGGAAGCGTCCTTCACCAGATTCTTCATATCCGATCCCGAATACCCTAAAAATATGTGAAATATCGAAATAAAAATACAAGACAGAAAAGTAGCTGTAGGTCTTAAAATTATAGGCAGAAACTAATTTTTCAATGATGCGTTCTTTGAAGAAGATACCATCAGTCAATTTGCATATTGCATCAATATCCTCCAGTGAAAGGTCAAATAATCCATCTTTTTCCAAAAGATTCTTAATAATCCAAGCTCTTGCATCTTCATATCAAATACAAATAAATAATAAGAAATTCAATAGTTCTATTGAAATTTTTAAAAGCATGGCTGTGACTTGGACCTGAAGTGGGGAGTGGTATATACAGTCTCTTCGTAAGTCTCCTCCTTGCGGCCTCATCAAGTTCTTGAGGTCTGTTAGTTGCACCTATTTGAGGAAACAACACAATTATAAACCTGCCAAGTAACTTTTCTCAAAATGCAGAATCTAGAGGGGGAAATAAAGATTACCAATGAGTCTAAAAGAATTTTGGCCAGATCTACCCATTAAAAACTATAACCGAGTATCAAACACTAGATAATACAATATAATGTGAGGAGCTTCAACTTATGAATTCATCTCTTAGTTGTAATAGAAAAAGCAATCAGTGTGTAAGCATCTGTGATTCAGCTAGAAATATTTAACTAAAACACTTGGGATTAACCAGTTTAACAATCACCTATTAACAGAACTTGTTCGTTTCCACCATCAAAGCCTTCCATTTCAATGAGAAATTGTGTCTTCATTCGCCTGCTTGATTCATGTTCACCTTCTGACTTGCGCTGCACCAATGTTGAGTCGATAAACTAAGCATCTTCTCTTGAGTAGTAAATAATTACAAAGCTTGAAAATGCAAGTAAATAGGTATTTTGGTGCTATCTTTATCAAGAGTCTACCTTTCAAATCCTGACAACTATCAATTATTACACAAGTGTCTTATGAACAACGTATACCTTAGGAAACCTGAGTTGAGAGGATTTAGAGAATGTAGACTTGGGAATTTCTTATTCTATATGTTCTCCAAACAAATAAATGAAAGTTAAAAAAATATTGCACTCGCTATAAACTGCAAATTGCAGCTTACATAATTGGAACTTACATTTTCATGAGAAAACCAGAGAGGGAGAGAGGAAAAAAGAAGCAAATTGACAAAAGTCATATGGAAAAGAAGCCAATCGATTCTTACCTGCGATAAAAGTGAATCTATTTCATCCACAAATATTACAGCAGGCTGCCGACAACTAGCAACTCCAAAAAGTGCCCTGACTAACTTTTCACCCTCACCTATCTACAGTCACGAAACAGCATTCAGTAATTAGAGCATATGAAAGCTCATTTATATTTAAATAAACAAGTCTATATTTGCTCGTCGTAATCATATTAGATAAAATATTAGAAGCTACAGAAAGAGTCCTATTATCACCCAATGACATAGACTATCAGACAATGGATGCAAATAATTTCCACAAAGAGTAGGGCAAAAAAGACTGTTAGGCATGGCATATCAGAAAAAATCTTAATTCTTAGGCATTGTATTTGGGAATGCAGGAACAAATTCACAAGTTAGTAATTTCAATATGAATAGTGATTACATTCATGGTCTTGATTTAGAACTAAATTGCATAAATTTTGAATAAAGAATTAAATAATTTTTATATTTGACCATCATGGGATCAATAGAAGAAATATCACGCACCCATTTGCTTGTTAATGAACTGGCAGATATGTAGAAAAAGGTTGCTTTCGCCTCTCCAGCTATGGCTTTACCTATCATAGTTTTACCAGTTCCCTAAGGCAAGGGAGACCAAAATGAGTAATGATTTAGTTGTTTCTGAGTTTCTCGAGTATGTGTAAATGCTTACAGGAGGCCCAAAAAGGAGAAGACCACGGCCAGGAGAACGGCAACCTTTAAAGATGTCCGGGCGCAACAAAGGCCATATAACCATCTCAGTCACACATTTTTTTGCATGCTCCAAACCAGCTATAGTATTCAGGGAAAAAAAAAACATTCAGGAAAAGAATGTATAAAATTATGAATGTCAAAGGATCTGACGCATGTGTATGCTGACATACCAATATCATCCCAACGCACATTAGGGTCCTGGTCCATTATCTCATTGCTGATATGTTCAATAAGCCGTGGTTCCAAATTCCTTAGTTTCTCGGGAAGTTCACCATCAGCACCACACAGCAATTCCAAACTGCATCGCATCAATGTTACATCTTGTGCATGGAGTAGTTAGTAAATTAACGTTTGTTTCCTTTCCTCTACTTAAAAGGAGTTGGAGGGGGAGGGAAGCATATTCTTAAAATATCATCAGAGAGTTTATACAGCATCAAGTAAAGGCAAATGTATCGAGATAAAAAATACCATCTTTTTGTTGAGTCATCTAATGCATCTTCACCCTTTCCAGCAATGCTTTTAGTAATATTACCCATATTATTACCATTGGATCTGATTGGGGGGATGAAGTTACCCCGGATGCCACGACGTGAGAATCCATAGGATCTGACTCCATAACCTTTGTTATTTCCCATGTCACTTTGTGGTGAGACTGAATCACTTGGTGATCCTGTTAAGCCTCGCCTTTGCCTAACATCCATTTCCTGTGGAACGAGGCACTCAAAATTTGTCAAGCAATCTAAATCATGAAAAGCATTGTGTAAAAGGCATCCATTACTTGAGCTAATAAATCCCACATATTGTCTAGCTAACTTTAGGTGGAAACTGTTTTGATGTGGCTTCAAATCACAGTATCAAGTAATAGAACTTGCTATGTTATTGATATCGAGATTTATCTCCTCTTGATTATATTTAGTTCAGCTGCTGTGCTATATGGACCATGCTTCTCTAGCCAATTCCAAACATCAATCAACCGATATAGTGGTGCAATAAGTACATAATTTCGCTGAAATTCTTAAAACTGGTCATTAGTGGCAGTTGCACCTTATGTAAATATAAAAGTTATAGCAGACACAGAAATGAACAAATTTTCAAGCCATCAAAGTAACAACATTTATAGAACAATCAAGCAGATTTTTAGAATATTTTTAAGGTACCAGTTTTGCTCTTGCAGTGACAAATCCATTGCCAGAAGCATCATTCTCAGTTTCTTCACTACATGATGGAGACTTTACATTTTCATTCTTCGGGCTAATGATTTCCCTATGCAGCCGTTTTGTATTGAAACTCTTCCCATGAGGTTTTTCTCCTTCGGCTTTAATAAATGCAGGCACAGAATGATTATTAAAAGAGAAATGGCTAGGATAGTTCTTTTCAACAAGAACACAATCCTCAGAGCTCTTATCTTTTGTGAAATTTCTATTACTTTCTCTGGAGACATTTCCATACAAGGATGTGAGTTTTCCCTGTATCAGAGTGTTAGAGGTCTTGCAACTCGAATTCTCCTGCTTGTCAAGTTGAGTTACCTGACAAAAAATGTGCTCTTCATCAGTGCTTGATGTTTATTTAAACTATTTACCCAATAACCATGCATTTGTTACCAGGCCAGTAAGGGTTAATTCTAGAAAGAAAAAAAATGTAGGTGGCTATGCATATAATGTTCATTTGGGAAATTTGGAAAAGAAATAAAGCATAGTATACATGTCAACTGACCTATGGACATTAATGTAAGTAGGAGACAACAAAATATAATCAAGTTTTAGGAAAATCATACCGATTCATTCAAAGTTTTTCCATTGTACTGCTGAATAAGAACACGGAAATACTTAGACTGCTTAATCTTCTCTATGTTGATATTACTTCTCTTGCCAAATATGCAGCCTGGATCCCTTCCTGCTTGTTCAAATGCTTGGCTAAAATTTTACAAAACAGATTAACCACATGATCAAGAGTAACTTTAGTTGCAAATCAAACCATAATTGGTAAAAATTGCCAATTTAAACACTGAACGTACTATAAATAATTGACAGGAATCAGCAAGAAAACTGAAACCAAACATACCTAAGGTGATAATAAAAAAGTTGGATTATTCATTTTCTGTTCAACGATATTTGTTGCTTCATTATACTTAACTTAATTCAATATATATCTTTACTAACTTACACAGTCACTTTATAATTAAACAGTAAATTCCCAAAAAAAAAACACAAAAATCATCAAAAGGCACTACAAACTTGCATGTCAAAATTTAATAAAATTCATCCCGAAATACCACCTAATGCATGTTTTGCGGAATTAAATACTACCACAATGTTTTACCACCCCTATATCGTAAAATTTTTTCCACATAATTGTAATAGTAAAAGGTAAAAAACCTAAATAATTGCAGATAACCTATAAATACGTTTCAATTAGGTAAAAACCTCCGAACATACACATACGAAAATTAAAGCAAGTACCGATCCGAATTAGGAACCAGTGAGCGTCGAGCCGTGTCGAGCTTGGTTACAGCTTCACGGCGAATCGGACGTATAAAGGCCTCGTCGACTTGAGAGTGAGAGCGGGAATCGAGGAAGCCGATAAGCCCGAGGGCTTGCACTTGCGCGGAGCTGAAATCCCCCTTCTCCAGAGCCAAATCAGCACCGAATAGCAGAGAATGGAGCCGCTTGAGGTTATCATCGACTTGTTTTCTCCAACACACACTCGATTCTTCCTCCATTTTTGGCTTTGATATCGAAGTCTCCTCCTTTCCCGCCATTTTCATGGCTTCAGTGGTCATCCGATAAATGGACGCCTGGTTTTGTCACTTTCATGGGTNNNNGCCTGGTTTTGTCACTTTCATGGGTTAGACTTGGGGCCTAAATTATTTTTCTGTAAATGGGCCGCGTGACCAAAACTAAGCCCCGCATGACCAAAACAAAGCCTCAATTTACATGCAGCAGGCCTTTGTGTGTGAATAAATAATGTTGTCCGCAATTCTCACGGCTGAAAATATTATTTAATTATTATTATTTTTTTTTTGTCTTTTCTATAATTCTTTATTTTTTGATCTTTCAATTCTTTTGTTTAGTATTTTTGGTTTTTTTGTAATGTATTATTTTTATCTCTTATTTTGCATTAATAATTTTTAATATACGTATATTACGTTTTTTTTATATTAATAATAACACCGCAAATTTCATATGATATTTTTACTAACGTTGCAACACATTTAGACAAAATAAAATAGACATTGCAACATATTTAATTCAAACTGCGTCGAACGAGTACAACAATAAGTGGTTTAATGGTTATCATCATCGTCAAACCCATGGAATGCACCATAATCACCGCTACCAATATCAGTGTACCTATCTTCCTG